CCAATTATTTTTTAAAAGTCAGGTCAAGGCTCCAAAAGCACAAAGGCGATATGAGGGTGGCGGCTCACAACAATTTTTGTTTGCTGGATCATTTTAGTTCAGCTGGGCGTCTTTCCTTTTGTTATATTTCTTTTATGAGTTCAAAATGTGTTAATTACATAAATAAAATGTAATTTTCTCTGTAGCACTTCAAGGATTTCATAAGCAACACGCCTTAGTTGTTCACACAAAGCATAAAGGTAAAAAAACAATATATACAGTGTTATCTTCATTTTAGATTTCAAAAAGTATTTGAGGCTCCCAGTGTTTTCTTTTGCATGGAAACCGGGTCCAAATGGCTCTTTGGATGTGAAAGGTTGCTGACCCCTGTACTAAACCAACCGAAGGTGCAATATCCAATCAGTATCCATCAGTATCCTGTTTTCAATCTGACAGTGGTTCTAAATTACCTCTAATTTTTGATATGTTTGATAATTGACTTTTGTTACTGTTCAAGTTGGAAACTCTTCAAACTTAAACACTGGACACATGTCTAAGTATGTGGATGGACAAATTTGTGTTCTTTTGGCCACAGCTTACGTCTTCTCTGATCTTGTTATGTGGAAAAGGAATTATTTCAAAAACAAGGACTTATTGTGCAAAAGTCTTGAGCCATGCCTCATTTCTATATCTTTTGCTTTCAAGGAGCAACACTTTTTAAAGTGGTCTTGAGCAAGTTATTGGGTTACTCAGACCCTCTTGAATGTCTTTCAAACTTTTTCTTTGGACATTGGCTGCTTTTTCACTCATTTTCAATTTTTTACTAGCAGCCTATCAGACAACACAGTTTGACAGAAATAAATTATCTTTTTGACACCAACAAGATGCTATTAGTGGAAAATTTGGCATATCTTCACATTGTGCGCAGAGAATTTGAGGAGACTAGACAAACAGACAACTATATAAGAAGTGGCAGGCCTATACACTGTCTACGGCAGATGAATAGTATCTGAAAATCAAGTCCTTAAAAAATTGAGAAAAAAACACAGGACCTGATGGCTACATCTGGCTCTTCAGTTCATCCATTCACTGAAGCCTCATCAAGAATCTTCTCAGTGAAGGGGGCTGTCTAGGAGCCCTTAAGGAGAACAGGGATAAAAGTATGATGTATGATAAATTGCACAAGAAATGGACTGAAAATCAGTGGCAACGGTGTGTGATGGACTGATTAATCTAGATCTGAAATTTTTAGTCAAGTGGTTGCCAGTATGGGAGAAGGCGCTGTGAGCTTCTACAGCTATCTGCAAAACCACCAGATTTTGATCCACAATAAAATGCCATCTGGAAAGCAACTGATTGGCGACAGCTAGTTTTTTCGCCATGACAATTAACACACACACTGTCCCACACACAAAACAATCAATGCTGTCAGTCACTTATTGGCCTCCCCAGAGTCTGGAACTCAGCATTATTAAAGCAGTTTGGCATCCACATTTCAGAGCTTTGAGAGCTTTGAAAGCTTTAAGAACTATTCTTTAAGACTACTTGAAGAAATGACAAGAAAGGTGCCTAAGAGAGTTCAGACTGTATTGAAGAATAAAGGTGTTCATACCAAATATTAACTTTCAAGCTGGTTAGAACTGTACAAACTGTTTTTGACTTATATACTGTAGTAAGTTTCCACATTTCAATAAATCTCTTCATCTGTTTTCCATTTTCTTTGCAAAATATAAAGAAATGAAAGACTGCACAGGACTTTTGCACAATACTGCAAATCTCAACGCTCTCTCTCGCACTCTCTCTATCTTTCTCTTTGCAGTTTGGAAACGAGGCTCAGCAGTTAGAATGGGCTAAACGTGAAAGCGAGCGTGCAGAACGTGAGCGGCTGAAGAGACTCAGACAGCAGGAACAGGAGGACCTGGAACTGGCCATTGCCCTCAGTAAAGCAGAGATGTCCAATGCATGACCTGGAGGTCCCACTACATGTGAATACTTGTATAGCCATAGTGAGGCTAACCTGCAGACAAAGGTGACTGACTGAAATATTAAGACATGAAACGCATCACTGAACTAATTACTGCACACACACTCACACAGAACTCCACACTCAGTGACTTTATTGGATTGGAAGAAAACAAGAAACTTTCAGACAAGTTTGGATGATGGCCCTGCAAACAGAAAAAAAAACAGTAAAACAGAATCGTGGGTTGCAAAACATCATTGAAAAACGGGTGCTGACATGAAGAAAAGGGGAACTGAAATATAAAGACGTGGAAAGAAAGCTGCTTGGTAGAAAGAGTGTACAGGCCCCATAGTAGCTACACGGTAATGTTGTTTTACCGATTAGGGAGACTAGCTAATCGCTGCACGACAGTTTGTATCACGTCATGTTTCTTTGTTTTGTTTTTTAAGCTACACTCACCATATGGAAACAAACCTTGCTGTCATTAATAGACGAGCAGATGACCTTTTCTTTTGTTGTAACAATCAGCAGCAAAGAAATTGCCCCTGTAATTCTCAGAAGGGACTTGTAAATTGGTTGTATCATTTAGTTAATGAAATTACATGATGTAGTAAGTATGTCAGTTAATATTCAGTGCTAATGCATAGAATGAGGTTTAAATTCCTATTTGGTATAGAGAGGCTTATAGAAAGGACTGGATTCATTCAGTAATACTCATTAGGGGAGGGTTTAAAAAATCGATTTCCCCGATTCAAATCGATTTTTGTTTGAATAAAGCGATATCGTGTCATTAAATCCTGATTCGATTTTTAATTATTTTTAAGTATTTGGTCAGAAACGACAAAATCTCAGCTTAAAGCTCACAAAATGACTTCAACAACCACAAAACAGCAAATGAGAGCAGTTAAACGAATTCTGCGAAAAGACGTAAACACAAAGCGCGGATCGTTCACCCAAAGATCTGCGCACAGACACGCCGTCAGGTGCTGAAAGCAAACAGATTCTGAAGTCGCAGGTTTTGCCACTTTCCGACCAAAATTCACTGATAGGCAGCAAAAAAAGATCAAAACTACGCTTCACGTGTGGAAAACATCGTCGTGAATTCCCTCTTACTTTACAGTTTTGCTTCCACTGCGATAAAAATCACACTTCCTGCACGGCTCTCTCTCTCAGTCTATTTCAAGAACAGTTTCCAATCTGAAATCTGTTTTCTGCATTATGTACAATTTTATGTACAGCGCTGTTTTTTTTTCTCTGTAACTTTGCTCTGCTTCACATCAGCAGCGTCAGGTAATGTTTATATGCAGATTCATGGTTTTCTTCTGTTTTTGTTCAACTGCAGAATATTTTTCAGGCGGTTGTCTGCTTTAAAAAGCCAGGCCAGGAAAATCTCCTTCATGCTTTTCTGTGTTTTATCCTCAGTTACTTTGACACAAAGTCACCTGCTGTGATGCTCAAACCTTTGATGTGTCAGCTTTTTATACATAGATATAAAAATATGGATATGTATTAATGAATGATCAGAACTATAATATTTCTGACTGTCCGAATCGAAACTGAATCGAATTGAATCGGGGATCAAATCTGGACCTTCTGAGTCAATCAATTATAGAAATGAGTGACAATAACCGGCCCTAATACTCATTAAATATTCTTTTAAGGCCAGACACTTACACTAACAAAGACTGAGATAAGAAGTGAAAAGATCGATATTAACAGTATTTTTAAACTGTATTTAACCACTTTGTTTCAAGCTAGACTAAAGTCAGTGCTTCATTTTTTCTCATGACTCCAGGTGAGCTTTTATCTCCAAATATCAGGATTTAGAGATTAAACACTTTAACCAGATAAAGATTCAGGCAATCTGGGATACCAAGAGCCTTATTATCCAATGGTTCCACTGTATAACAATTTTAACAGTAATACCTTAATGAAATATTCCTTCTGTGTACTACTGAAATTCAAAAGGCCTCAAGGAACCACAGACAATATTATCTTTTCAGGTGTGTGCGTTTAAATGGCTTCTCTTGTGAATTTGTCTTTCAGCCTCCAGTTTAAATGTGACATAATGTGAAAACCCACTTTACTTTGTGTTGTGCTTATTTATCATAAAGAAATAAATAATACAGAGCGGGGGAAAGAGACTCAGAATAGGGTTGTTTTTCTTTGTTACTCTTCTGCCTTGAGTCTGTAGCTTACATGTTTCTCTTTTTCAGTATTACGTTTGCCACCCATCGCAGACGCTCCCTTCCCCTGGCTCATCATTTCAGTTTAAAAAAAATTATTTTAGCCTGGCAGTGTTTAAGGTAGAGTGTTTATTGGCTCTTATTCACATTATGGAAAATGAAGACATAAAAGTAACAGAAGCTGAGGGAAGCAGCATGCATTACATTGGTTTCCTCTAATGTGATAACTACCCAATGAATGAAAATAACTATGTCAGGATATCGACATATTCTTTGGAGTGAGAGTAACGTACTGTAAAAATATGTTTTCCGTTATCATGAGTGAGGTCATCGTGTAAAGAGTCCTCTGCACTGACCTGTAGAGCTTTCTTGCCGTCTCTGCGGTGTATATAGACAGAGCCTATGCCTCTTCTTGACAACTGTACTCTGATCACAGTGATGTGATATCATACCACATCCAGTAAATGAAATAAAAGATGAGGGAATTAATTTTTCATATTTCAACTAGTCTGTTTTTTATTGATTCTTTTTTAGAAACTGATGGTTTTAGCCTTGTTTTTAGTTGGTGACTACAGAACAGCAAACATAAGTTGCAGATAGATTTCTGACTGGCAGGAAACTGGATGTTGAAGAGTGCTAATTCTTATGTGACATAGTTTGATGTTCCATAACAACTCACTTTGTTTATTTTAGGAGTTGTCTCTTTACTTGAACTATGAACCAATGCTTAAGGGAGACAGAAATAAGTTGTTTCTAGAGTTTTGTTTTGTTTTTTATTTGGATTTTGTTTTTGTTTTTTTTACTGTCCCAAAAAAGCAGATTTCATTGAACTTAACTTCTGAGCTGTTAGTGCAAAGCAAAGCTTACTGATGTGATCTTTATACTGTAACATTGCACTGGATGCAATCTGATGGAACCTAAAAATGCTTCAGTCATTCTGAAATCACTTCAGATTTGTTGCAATTGAATGAAAATATAAACTCCTTCTAATAACAGAAAACACTGGCGTACATTCTGCTCAACTTGAAATTTAATACATAAAAAAATGTACTGAAATGTTCAGGTTGCGTCAGATTTCAGTCCAAGACTGTGATGGGATGGTCCCAAATAAGAGCTGGCGGCGTGTAAAGGCTTTGTACTGAGTGATATGACAGAATGACCTCCAATAAGTGTTACACTTGCTTTTCCACTCATCACGTTGAAAAAAAATGCTGGTACTAATGTGGTTACTTTCATGATGCAACATTGAATATTTGTTTGTCTTTTTCTTCCCAGATGTCAGACATGTTGAAACCGCTTTCCAGGGGGTCAGCATTATATAAATCCTTGTAATGTGAATTCACCAAAATAGGAGTGAAAAGTGAAGTTAAGGTTGATAATGCACCCCTGATTCTGCGAGTAAGAAGTGTAAACTGCCTCTCACAGCTTTTCTTTGTTATGTTCACACATCAAGAGTGTTTCTTTTACTATAGCTGTTACTGAGCGGTGTCCTTAGTATGTGATAAACCTGCTTTCATCTACTTCTCAGTCATAAAACACATGTTGGCTTTTAAGTCTCTGCCATGAATAGAAGCCCCCTCGTGTCCGTCCGTTTTCTCAGTTTAAATAAAACTGTTCATGAGCTTCTACGCGCCAGCAGCTCGTCAGCTACACACTTGTTCTCACTGCATTATAAAAAGTTACAGTTAACTTAATTGCTATCGAGTAAAACGCTTATAGTGTGGTATATTAGAAGTTGAATAAAGAGCTATGTGTATTATCTAAAAGGTGCAGTATGTTCAATACCTTACTGCAGAATTATTTGCCCCTGTTTTTCACAGTGGCTAGTGGTGTTACTTTTGTTTGTTAACCAGATTTCTTTCATTCTTACAGCACATTGACATCAGATCAAGCATGTATTGCAACAGCAGTCACCTAACAACTCATCTATACTAGCTTGAGAAGCAATGTGATCCAAACTTCTTGCTTGAGGCATCTCTAAACTTGTCAATGCTGATTGTGACATAATAGTCTGACTGCTTCATTAAGGTGATATCATAGCAAGAATGTTCATGTTTCAAGTCTCCTTTGAGCTGGCCCCTCACAGGTGGAGTTTGACTTTTCGGCTTCCTGCCACAGTTCAAAGACGTGGTTGGTTTGACTTCTACATATGCTGTGATTTTCACACAAATAGGCTTCATAACCTAACGTGCTGTATACCACTGAGGTCACAATGTGGGTGATTTGCATGTGGTACTGAGCCTGAAAGAAGTCTGTATAGATACAGCTAGAGGACTGAAGCTTTTGCTATTCTTCTTGTAACTATGTGGAACCCACACTGGCTTAAGTGCTATAGAAGTTTATTTTTCCCAGAACTAAAGAGAGTGTCCTTTGACTGAGTGTGTATGTGGATGGCTCAGCTGAATTTTGAAAGCAAAACGTGGACTCGTTCTGTATATTATAGGGCAGAGAGGTGCGTTATCTTTATAGCACAGCTGACATTCTGTGGCGGTGTATATACTTCAACAAGCTAGGATGTGATATTTTCACACAGTATAACTAGCAACATGTAGGAAACAGAGGGACCTGTGATTACGCCAACGCACTCCTTGAGAAGTAGGGTTGGACAGCAGTTCTGTGGGTTTGATTCTGACGTTCTGCACCAATGCTGAAAACAAAACTTGAAATATTTCAAAATTCAGAAATTAGGGTATGTGGTGAGATGGAACAACATGCATATTATCATTAGCACCAAGAACTAGCAGCACTCAATACTCGGTCCTTCTGTAAAAGACCGCATATGATGTGTATCTGCAATCACCCCGTCTGCTGTGTACTGCTGTTAACAGACTGGTACCATTGTTCATACTGTATTTGTCATTAGATACCTCCATTGTGCAATAGATATGTTTCTTTTATTGTTGTTTTATGTATAGTCTGAAAGAAGTCTAATTTTTTATATGTTGTGTATGTTTTTAATATAATTATTTATGTATCCACAGCCAGCCACTCTTCTGACCTGATTTTCTTCCAAGCATCAAAAGCCTTTTATCGCAAATCCTTTTTTTTTTTTTTTTTATTTTGAGGAAAAACAAGTAAACACAATGTTAATTACTAAATGTTATTAAAATATCAACAGTGTTAGCAGTTAAGAAATATCAGCTTATGATTGATGATAAGTGTCAAAATTACAGCTTAACAGTTTCTTTGTTTTAATGTTCATTTTATCAGAATGGTTCATGTTTTCTTGTAGTGTGAAACCACTGAATTCTGTCTTTGCTGGAATGCTGATGCTTAATATTAAGCAGGCAAAATGAATTCATTGTGTCATTCGTCATTTATTTGATTTCTTTTCTAACTCTTGTTGTTGTTGCTCTCTCTGCTATCGACAAATTATTCAGCGCTGTTTTTATAAAAATGCATACAGTGCGTGTACGTTCTCTGTAGTATCATGTCTGGTATATGTGTCCTAACAGCATAAACAAACGAACCAGTGAATTTTAGAGGAAAACATTTGGAACAACGGATAGAGAACAGAGGTTTACCTAGAAAAGTGAGGATCTATATGGTCTCTATATGGTCTGTACTGTTTACTAGAATAAACATTTCCATTAATGAATGCATGTTTGACTTGTCAACAGTTTTGTATGACTATTCGTAAAGCTTAATATAGTATTACACGTTTAGAAATCTTAAATTCTTAATTACATATTTAGGGACAAAGTGCCAAATGTAATTTATTGAATCCCTAAATTGCAATTCCATTAAGAAATAAAGTGATTTTAATAATTTTAGAAGCTATTAGAACTTAAAATCCATCCTTCAGCATTTTCAAAGTATTTTTTTTTTTTTATCCCAAACAATCTTTTCCAAACCAGACATCTGTAGCAGTATTCACAGTGCTTCACTTCTTCCACATTTTGTCAGCCTGATTCATAAATTGAGTCGTTTTTCGCCTGAAAGGTCTACACACAATTACCATAGCAACAGTGATGAAAGTTTACAATTCTCCATTTCAACTAAACTCGTCGTTTTGAATGTCATGGCAAAGGATGTCAGTACTTAACTGTAATACTTGTTCACGGTATGCTTTTGTTTTTTAGTTTTTATACATATGGATGAATTTCAAGCGGACTTTTTATTCATGGATCATTTTTGCGTTAAATTTTGAGGTGAGAAATGAATCCATTTTGGATTGAGGCTGTAACAAAAGTAAATACTTTACAGATGCTCCTCCCCTCCCAGACAGTCACAGTGTGAGGTGAATTACACTCATTTCAAGGGCACACCTGTCAAGTGTGAAATGAATGCTGTGCAATTCTGGACATATTAGCTGTAAACCAAGCAATCCTCTATGTTGGCAAGTGCTAACTGTCTCACTGAGGAATAAGAGGAAATTCTTCACACTATTGTGTTTACTCTACGATAATGAAGAGGAGGAAAAGGAAAAACCTGTGAGCCAGAGAATATTTGTGGGTAAATGTTGGAGTGCTGTTAACATTTTTGATACTAAAAACCTAACAACCTGGATATAAAAAAAAAGCCCTTTGTATTGGAGGAATTAACCATGAGCACTCACTAGACCCTGTACATCTATTCAACTGTTTGTTGGTGCACTTATGTGATCAACATGACAGAAATTCAATATATTCAGGCAGACATAATCAAGACAACCCACTTAAGTTCACCAAGCATCACAATGGCTCAGAATGATGAGTTAAGTGACTGAGAATGTGGCATGGTTGGGACTTTCCTGCATGAACATCTTTAGGGTGTTCATGCAGGAACATCTTTACAGATAGTGTTCATTCGGGGGGCTGGTTTCAGTTATTGTGCAATGTACTGTTTATTGCAAAGTGAAAGTGTTAAGGAACCACAGCAAGTATACCTGAAGTTACAGAGCAGAGTTGCTGAATGCTAAGGCTACGGTAAAAGTTGGCAAAGCTCTGCTGACTAAACCTCCTCTGGCATTAACATCAACACATAACTGTGGACCTTGAGCTTCATGACATGGCTTTCGATGACTGCTCCAGTGGCTCCTGTTGATGTGTCGGTAGCCTGGTACTTTCTTCCATACAGTGTATATATAAACTTGACTTTTATGTCAAATGGAGCTGCACACAAGTTTAGAAATGATATCTCGATTGAGGTACTAACATCTTGACCATAATCTGCCATGGCATGATGCCGTCCTGGAAACGTCCTGACAGTCTCAAGCGGAAAGGAAACGGGAGCCTCACTGTGTTTTAGGGGCTGTGGCTCAGCAGGGAGAGCAGATTGTTGAGTAATTGTAAGGTTGGCAGTCTGATGTCCAGTTCAAGAGCCATAAGACAGTAAACTGAACCAAAATTGCTCCTGATGCATCCGCTGGAGTGGTGTTGTGCAGTAATTAGAAAGCACTTAAAGGTATACAATAAAAAGCACTGTGTTAATGTGACTTCTTGTTAAAAAATACTTTGAGTCTTCAGAGTGGATAAGCACTGTATACACACCAGTCTGTTAACTGGTAACAATGAATTTTGACTCCCAATCTTAATGTGTGTAAAATTGTTTATCTAAGGAACTCAGCACTAAATCACTTAAGCAAAATGTAGATATTTGAAGAACGTGTTATTTTTATGAAGATAAAAGTCTGAAACATAACTAAGCCAACAAGTTAATCATTAGGTATACAGGATTACGGTAAACTACTGTGACATCACATCACATGGAGGCTGAGACAGGAGAATACACCCAGAATGCTTTGTCCAGGCAATTGTTTAGATAACTACCTTAACTTTAACTGCACATGTGTATTCTGTTTGTCACAGAATGTTTAGTTCTTAAAGTAAGAAAACACAGTCTGTAGCTGTGGTTCACATCAAGAGGCTGGATGCTGTTTGCTTGTAGTCTCATTATTCCTGCTTACCTCAGACTTCACATGTTGACTGTTTCATTTTAAGCAGATTAGAATGCTGACGCCATCATTTGGTCAACAACAACCCTTATATGGCTGCTAGCACAGCTACACCTTCTCTGATTTCATAGTTGCTGAAAAACTGATCTTGCTTTCATAACACAAATTACCTGCCCAAATAATGGGGCTATCGGAGATATTTGACATGCAAATTTAACATGATTTTATCTTTTTACACAAAAATGAACTGAGCAGACTCCCAGTGTTTTTGTAGGAGTGTAAATCTTACCTTCCGCAAACGCATGCAGCCAGTGTTCGATTAGCTTTGGCTGCAAGCTCATTTTATCCACTGGTGAAAATCTAATCTGGCCTAAAAATTGTTACAAAAATACACACCACGGGGTATAGTGTATGTATGCTGGGCAGACATATCTCTTGTATGTTCCCTTGTACTTCTTTGTGTTTATGCATGTGAGTGTATTGTATTTTACATGTGTTACAACGCACATGATCTAGAAGAACCAGAACTTGCTGGAATCCTGTTTTCAGTTTGAAAACTGACATAAACCTGTTTGGGTACTGAGCCACACAAAGTCTGACAGTCGACAGCAGCTAAATGAAGACTGAACGAGCAGTCTTTATAGTCTTTATATAGTTTTAATAGGAAATGCATTGAAAAGATGCTAAGAAATAATCAACCAAACACAAATTTACTTGATAAGTTTTCTTTAATGTACAATTCAACCTTTTACAAACTAAAAATAAACAAACAATAGAACATTAAGAGTCTAATGTTCAGGTGTTTTTTGGAACCCGTTCCTAACAATTCAATTGGGTTCCCCCGGTGAAGGAAAACTAAAACTTTTTTTTCCCTTTTTAGGTACATTTTGATGCGTAACTTTTTGTGTAATTTTCTTCATCATTGTCCCCACACGGCATCACATGTATAACATATAATTTATCAAACAAAAAAATGTTACATTGGTTAAAATATTTAAATACATTTTTCGTACTTTGATTAAATACTCAACCAGCAAAAATAGAAAAATAATTAGTTCAACTGGGAGACACAGCGTCCTTTTTTGATTTTTGTCTCTTCTAACTATGCTCCTTGCGATTTCTCGCTCTCACACTCAGCGGAATTTACGATCCAGCTGGGAAACTGCAGGGAAAGCATTCCAGCAGAAGTTTCCTGCAGTCCACAGCAGTGCTGCTATCCCAGTAGATGGCAACCTCTTCCCATAAATACACTTCTTGTCCCTTTTGCTGCCTACTGAGCCCAGTGTTGCTCATATGCTGTAGGCCTAATCAGCGTATGGGGCTTGCAAGCCCTTGGCCTCTCACCTAAGTTGGATCAGACCACACTCACGACCTCAGCGAACTTTGCCCTCTTCCTTTAAGGCAAATCTATATTATGATAATGAATCCATCTTGTTCCGCTGCTTTCACAAAGGCAGAAACCAGCATGTAAACCAGGTCACCCTCACGCCAGAGCTTCCCACGCTCCACAGTGGCAGTTACCCTTCTGCACCCAGCTGAAAAAAGTGAAATGAAAATGTTTGATTTTTCACTTGAGTGAATGTACTAAACATAGAGGTGGGGAGTGTTCCTCTTTTCTGAGGGCTGGCACGGGGCAATTGTGGAGATGGTACGGAGACAAGTGACCTTTCACAACCCAAAATAAACACAGGCCTTGTCACGGCTTTAGCGGAAATGGAGAGATAGTGAAGTTTCATTAAGAGCCATCACCTATATGCTTCCAACACTACATGTGGCAAGCATGTATGTTACTTGACAATGGTCAAATTTACAGTTTAAAGAATATTGGATGGTAGTTTTATTCTTGTAGTTTGGATAGTAATTTGGATAGTAATCTTGTTTCCAGTGTGTGTGAAGTAAGAATGATGATCATACCCTTACTATTCGATCATCTCTGTCATGCTCTAATGATCTATGAGGCAACTCTTCCCATTACTGATTTAACATGTAATGCATTAAAGGCTCACACCACAGAATTTAAATCTTTTTGATCTAAACATCTTCTTTGTGGGGTTGAAACATTCCCTCGACTTAAAGATATCAACTAGCTATTAACAAGGTTGCTTTTGAAATTAAATTTAGCGTTGGCGGCTCAAAACTGATGTTTTGCAAACAAAACATGACTTACAAAAAGTAGCATTACAACAAAATATCTCTCCGCTTCAAGCTGCCGGAAAACAGTCTTCCATCAGGCAACTTTTTCTTTTTTGAGCTTTTCTTTATCCCTTTTTTAGTTTATTTGAAACACTGTCTTTCTTTTCACCACTCCATATGGTTTGCCCTTATGTCCCACGTAGCATCCATCTATACTTTGTAATTATGTCAATGTAATGTTTATATTTATGAGTATATGAGTGGGTTGACCCAATTTCTCAGGATGCTTCACCTATTACTAAATGTCCACATACTTAGAATTAAAAATGAAATAATGTATCTACATGCCCTAAGATATTGCTCGTCTTCTCAGGTGCTTTTCTCCTGATATACCCTTCTATGTTGACTCAATTTTTCAACTACAGTAAAGTATTGAGTACTTTGAGTATTTGAACTTTTGTCAAATAAAAACCCTTTTATAGACCTGTGAACTTTGAAAATCAAACTCTGGAGTCAGAGATCATGTTATCCATTTAGTTTAATATGTACATTAAAATAAACTATTTCCAGTATATAAAATGACTCAATTCACAAGGCAGTACATTTCTTCAAGACACAAACAAACCTTTTTACCAAAGACTGTTTAGTCTTTTGTCAGTCGATTGGAGTCGAGACGACGCGCACGTCTGCGAGACTGTAAAACCCTGACTTCAAATGCTACTAACCAGCAGACAGACTCACAGACAGGACATTCAGTTCAAACCTTCAACAAGACGATTTCATAAGAAAACATTTTCCTAAAACATTATTTCATCTGCTTGTTACAAAACAGTTAATAAAACTTTGTCTTTTGGCCAGTAGAGATTATGGCACTTGTTAGTTCTGTACTAAAGTGATGTATAAGGCACTTATTGTAAAAAATACAAACTCAAATATCACACATTTAAGGATCATCTGCATCCAGTTGCTTCATTGGCACGTGTCTGATATGTTAAGTGGAACGTCCCTGTTACCTTTGCAAATAAACAAAAAAAGTAGTACCAGCTACATCTGCAAGAATTCAGAAAAGAATTCGTATGTTTGCTGTTTGTGGTTTTCTTGTTATTTCTTACACTCACATACACATGCACGTACATACACATATCAATAAAAATATATATATTTTCCCAGAAAATATGTTTATAGTCTCATGTGATGGCACGTTATCTTAATGCCTAATCAGTCTTCATAAAAGTCACCATAATAATCCTATACAATACATATAGCTATTACAGTGTAGTCAACAGTGGTCCCATTATCCATTCATGGTACCAGTAAAATTAACACTCCTATAGGAACTTGCATCTATATATTGTCGTCGGATCCATGTGGCCCATCGTAGGATTCTTTAATCAGGCTGATGCTGTGCAAATCAGTCATTGTCTGTTTGTTGTCCTTCTGGTATTTGCTCACATGTGCCTCTTCATGTGGAGGGCGAGATGGTCAGACCGGGAGAATGCCCGTTCACACAAGTGACACTGGAATGGCCGGTGCCCGGTGTGCTTTCGGAAGTGACGTGTGAGCTCGTCAGAGCGAGCGAACTTCCAGCCGCAACCCTCCCAGCTGCAGTGGTATGGCTTCTCTCCTAAGAACACAAACACCCATCAGTGACAGCATAGTTCGTGACCTAGTTGAATAACATGCCCGCCACACTCAGCCCGCAGATCTTACCTGTGTGAGTCCTGAGGTGCGCCTTCAGGTGAGAGCTCTTCGTGTAGGTCTTTCCACAGCCGGTGAAAGTACAGGTGTGTGTCGCGGTTCGCTTCCTCGGCCAGGACCTGCGACCCCTCTTTGGCTTGGTGTCCATAACATCCAGCGGGGAGGAGGGCGGAGTGAGTAAAACCCGCTGGCCAGCTGCCTGCTGCAGACCCATGGCTGCGTCCTCTCCGAAAACGCCGGTGAGTTTATGCTGGTGGAGCGCCTCAGAGAAGGAGAAGTGCATCGCGCCGTGCTGGTGAGGAAATCTCGCGGGCGCCTTGCAGTGGTGTAGGTGGAAAGTCTGCGGGAACGTCGGCGAGGTGGAGGTGCACATCTGGCGCTGCTGGCACTCGGGGTTCATCAGGTCGTCCGGGCTGAGCGGCGGGGTCATGCTGCCCATCGCTCCCTGCGGGGAGCTTGCAAGCCGGGGCTGCTCGTTAAAAACCATGCATGAGACGTTCCCTTCGTGCTTGATTTTAGTGCAGCTCTGAGGCGCCAGACCCATGACAGGTCCGTATGTGTCCACTGAGACCGGCTCAGCTTTAATGTTCGGGTGCTCGAGGAATACACCCTGAGTGGTCTGGAAAGGCGTGGAACTGACCAGGAATCTGCCCTGAATACCGGAGCTGCTCGCAGGGAGGAAGCTGGTATCAATGTCGGAGCGAAGGAGCTCTGCCATCAGGCTGCTGTATTGAGAAGGACTGTTCATGTCTGGAACAGACGTGTAATCGTTTGTTTGATGGGACATTTCGATGTGATGCTGTTGCTGCTGCTGATAAACAGACACCCCGGAATCCTGAAGGCGGTATGACTCCGGTACCGTCCCGGCGGCCGACGCACTGCTGGAATCGGCGGTGTTCGCGAGAATAAACTCCAGATCCAAGAACCTGTCCAGGTCCTCTTCGTCTTTTCTGCCCTGGCAGCTGCTGTTCATATCTGCCCTGCTGATCACGTCGCTTTTCCACTTCTGCTTCAGGGATGGGAGCACAGTTTGTTTCAGAATGCATCATTTCTTTCAACCCGTTCAGATGATCAATACACACATATGTATAATATACACAAACAAAACAACAACTAATATAAATATGTTTTCTGATAGCAGGAAGACAAGTGCATGAAGCTCGGTGAAAGCAACAGTTAATAAATAAAAAGGCAAACTTACATCTTCCCAGTATTTTTCTTTTTGGTTGGAAAATGTAGAGATGGATGGTAAAATTGTCCCACTCGAGGCCATTATGAATAGTAAAAAACACTGAATTATAAAAAACTTCTGTTTAAGGCAAGTCACCAAAGTCCGCTGAGTTGCCAGATAAGGCTACGAGCGCGTAACTTCTGCCGTCCGGTGAGCTGGTCCTCGCTCACATGCAGCTCTGCGCCTGGAACAACTGGTTTTCTTATAAATATCCCTACATACATAAACCGGACCAGTGTGCGGCTAGGGGAAGGAAGCGCGTTCAGGATAGGGACACGGTGTACCGACCAGCCCCTAAATTTAGCCTCAGTATAAAAGCGTGAGTTTTCCCCGCGAGTCACAAACAGAGAAGTGGAGACGGACTAGTGCCCAATGCTTTCTCTGCTCTGCTGCGTGGAGCTACTTAACCCTCGCGGAGAAAGAACCCGCCCCTTTGGCCAACAGCTGGCAGAACAACCGCCCCCATATCGGCGCTCAAAGACAGAACAATTAACAGTTTAAATAACGCGTAACAAATATTAACACGTTAACATAAAAAAACAAAGTAACAGTATCACATACACACAAAATCCAACATATTGGAAAGCGACACAGAACGGTCTCCATTTTAAAGTGAAAACGTCTCATTCTTTCTGATAATTATTGTGTTCTGAAAAGTTTGATCCATGATTATTTTTGCTCCTGTGTTTCTGAGTATATAACAACACTGAGGTCAAATATCTCTGTCGGTTTCTATCTCAGTGAGAAAGCGGACAGAGGTGCGTGCGACAGGCTAGAACACGACACGCCAGTAGCGCACACTCCCTTGTAGTGAATGCAGCCACGCAGTTTTCTGCAGCAGTCTGCAGCCACCAGGCGCCACCTTCACCATCGCGGATTTCTTAAATGCTTTCTATGAAACCTCTCAGGTTGTTACATATTAGCCGTGCTGTTCATCTGGTTAAGCCTACCCCTCTGTTTCATTTTGGTGACATATAGTTGAGTGAATGTACCAACCCTTTCTGTAACAACCAACAGCCTGATCAGTGCAAGTTTCCAAACAAACCAATTTTTCTTATAAAAAAGTAAAATTGATTTGTATATATCCATCTATGACACACGGTTTTTTTAAAAAGTATTTCAGTAGTTCCTAAAACTATAAATCTTTGTTTTAAAGAACAAAACAGGAACTGAGATTTAACTATAAAAGCTTTACAGAGCATCAGAGGATCTTTTTTAAATTATTTTTTAAAGGATCTCTTTAGGCATAAATAAAAGCTACGATAGGACTATTTCTTCAGAAGAACATGGACTCTTGATACCTACAATCAAGGTGTTCAGTGGTGTGCTGACATTGTCAGAGGTGAAATCAATATAGAAATGTTCTAAGAGATAGTTTTTAATCTGACTCACTGAACACTTACAGGACATTTTGGACTGATACATTTGACAGCAATCTCCACCTGCATCATAAAAAAACACCTAATGAAACACTAGTTTTTAGGATAATATTCTTCAACAGAAAAGTAGGGGAGACCAGGGATAGTTGTAACGTGGGTCAGTTGTAACACTTGAAATTTCTCCAATCAGGGCTGAGTTTCAAATGATGTGATTCATCCTGTACATGTCCAATTCACTTCTTCTATCACATGTATAAAATTAGCACATTTAGTCAAACACAGACAATTTAAGATGAAAAAAAAAGTCATTTGTATGTCAAAAAGTATGTTTTTTTTATTTTTTACTTTATTTCAATTTCTAATAGCATAGCTAGTATTTGCTTTCTGAACACGATCCTTATTGCAAATATGTCAAGCCTTGTTCCTTTAGGTATCTCTAGCAGAGATGGGGTAATTTAGGCAAATATTTTCACTGTTTTCACTGTAAACTGAGGCTGATAACTGATACTAACAATTTCACTCCTTTCAGTCCTGATGACATCTGATAGTTAGTCCAAGTAGCTATACAAAAACACATAACACATATTTACACATCCTATGTATTGTACATATTTGTGATGGAGGGAGCTCTTTGTATGTGAAAGGACTTATTTCGTGTATTGGTTCACAAAGGTTTAAAGGGCATGTGACATTTTTGACATTTTCATTATTTACTGTTTTCCAGTCAGTCTGCATTAACTTTGTTTGCTCTCAGTAATGTTTTCTGCACTGCTTCACCATTAAGCGACATATCCTATATCCCTGACTGCAGATATCAGTGAGCAACGTCTGGTACATGCATCTGTTTGTTTCGTATTCATATTTCAGTTTAGATCGAGATTATTATATTAAATCATAATGGGTACCAGTCACTTATGTCCACTGCTTGAGGAACATGTGCTCTGGGGATACTCCTTATTCACTTGTGCAGCACTTGGTGACATTAGGGACTGAAAATGTAAACACAAAGACACGTCTGAAGGCTCGTGGTGTGTGGCCATTGTTACCCAATCTTCCCTGACCCAAAATAAAAACACAAAAAACACAAAATTTTCTTATCTAAACTCTTACACCCATTAGCAAGAGAAAACAGTTTTCAACAAAAAGGCTGCTGCAGTGTTCAGTATGTACAGTTAAAGAATACTCCAGGGTGTCTAATATATAAAACTGTTTACAAAGATCTAGACCAGCTCTCATAAGCTAAACACACAAATCTACTCACTAACGAACTTTTCAACTCTGGATTTTCCCAGAGAAACACTCAAAGCTACTAACAGAAACACAGCCTACTGGGTGGTGGAGGAATTGAACCCACCCACTCAGCAGGCACCTGTATCCATTAAGACCAACCCATTCACACCCCTGGGAGGGAGGAGAGAGAAAAACCCACACCCACATCCACTGGTGAGTGGAGTCACACATATAAAAACATGTATGATCCACATGATCTTGGGTCATAACACCATCAATAATCAGCTGGAGTCAAATACCAGGACTTAAACATGATTTGTGTAAAACTGAAGTTTGCAGAGAACATCCTCTACATCTTTCTGTCCTTCACAAACATCTACAACTGAGATATGAATGGTAACATCCCGTGAGGGTGCAAATTACATTTGGCTGTCTCAGACTTATGCCACTCTCAGGCTTTTCCTGCCATTTCCCACCACCACTCAGTTAGCCCAATATGGAATTGTCATCATACTGTTTCAGGAAAAAACATGGAAATGTAATTAAAAATGCAGTTTAACTATATGGAATTGGAAAATTCCATACATAGCTATACATGTCTATTTACTCACTGTGCTCCAGTGAAGGGCTTTTCTACCTTGTATCTATACCTACAGCGGTTTTCTTTCTTTCCTTTCTTCCTTCCTTCCTAGTACTATAGTTGGAAAGAAAGAGGAAACACTGGCCTAAAAATACTAGAAATTTTATTAAGGGATCAGAAAACACTTCTTTTGGATTTTCATCCATATAATCAATGCACTGCAGATGCCACTGAAGTGGTTCTTGTTATCATGGATAAGAAGACAAAAGTGTCCTGCCTTTTATTTAAACAAAGTTCCAAGCGCAGTACAAACAATATTACACTACAACCTTTAGTATGTGTAGTGCGTTCATTTCATTCAGTGGTCATATGTCTCGTGTCCTTATCTTAAAGTCAGCTATTCAATTTCTTCCACCTTATGTTTCTTTGCTTGCCAGGTGTTGAAGTCTTAGAGTTCTGGACTGTGTTCCAGTTTTTACCAATGCTGTATTTTCCAAATTCTTGCTGTCATCTCTGTAGGCTTCAGCCTTTGTTGAGCAGCTTCACAGCTCTGTTGTCAGCTAAAAGCTTGTCTTGTTCCTCAGCTTCCCTGACTGCGTCGTACCATATTTCCAATAAGTCATCTACTTTGATCTCCAAGTTATTCCTCGTCTTCTCTTTCTCCAAGCACATTGCTTGCGTGCTGGGAATCACCTATGTTAACAGTCCTGCATTTAAAGCTGCAGGACCATCACTTGAAAACAAATTGTACTCTCCCCACACACCAGGACTGCAGTGTTTATCCTGCCACTCCCATCTACATTTGACTCAGTGAGTTAGGGGAATCTGATCCTTTTAATGAGTTCAACAGCATAAAACTGCTCTCTCAGCCAGCTTTAAAACCAGTACAAAAACCAATAGTGTCTATGTTTGACCCTCTGTCACTCTATGATGGAGTGGTTTAAAATTTCCATGTGGAAGTGAGTTCTGGTTGTCTGGTTGCATGTTTCTCTGTGTGAGGCTCGGCTGTTCTTACAAATGACTATCTGGCGCTGTGTCTAGATTGAGACAGAGTTACATCATGGCACAACAAGGCTGATGGGCTTGGCTGAAAACTTGTGGCTGTTAGAGCTTTACTTCCACTGTCTAAGTTTGCCAGACAAATTGTTTGTGACAAATTCCCAAATGTAAAAAACTGCCATTTAAAGTAATCAGTTACTCAGGAAGGGCATCTGGCCAGAAACATTTGCAGAAACAGTTTTGACTGTTTAACCGGGTAAATGTGACAATAATTGGGTTATTTGAGAACATCTGGTGACAACTTTTTCTTTTTTTTGTTTTACACCTGTGTGGCTTATCACACCCCTTTTCTTTCTTTCTTTTTTTTTTTTTTACACACTATTTCAGTTATATTCTAATTATGGTCTGGATTGGTCCTGCCTCTGCAATGTGTAGTGATTAAGGGACAACTAGCTGTACCCTGCTCTTACACTGAAGGCAAAGCCAGACTTTTCTGAGGGTTGCTAACATACCACAGTATTTAAGCTTTACTAAAACACTCAGATAACACATAATTTCATGACTGTATACACAACATTTTATCAATTTCATTTCAACTTGCAGTCACTTAGCTGGGATTTACAGTGAACTGTGAAAAACTATCAGCTCTCCGAGGCTTTTCGGATTAATGTGTTTCTTCCATACGATTTGATTTTTTTATTAGAACCAGATGACTTTCTCATTGTGTCAAAGTTATTGCAGCGTGTTTCGGGATAAACTCGCTTTCCATGGTGCACATACTTTATGTCTTTGCTAAACTTCTTGGAAACACCTGCTTTGACTTCTCCACTTTCCTCTGCACGGCAGGAAAGCCTTGCTGTTCTGTTTCTTTGTGTGTGTGTGTGTGTGTGTGTGTGTGTGTGTGTGTGTGTGTG